GTTTGTTGGTTGCTGCAGTTGCTAAACACTTTAGGACGAATAGTGGTGGTCCTAAAGTGATAAATTCGTCTCTCATAATTTACGGACTCAGATTGGTCCCCTTTGGTATATTGACTTATCTCAATTTAAATTTCAGCATTAGCGCGTCATCGTATGGGGCCAATAATAGGATTGTGGTTACCGTGAAGGAGTAACAATGCTTGTGCTCGAAATTTGGGAGTTATTTGCCACATTTGAAGTGTTGAATTTGATTGTAAATTGATAAATGATTTTGTGCTCTAATTGTCATATAGTTACTGTATGAATCTGCATTGCATGAGAATTTGAATGTTTTTGTTTATATACTTTCGTGTTGTATTGATTTTCTTGTTAGAATACTTGGACTTGACCCGTTTAAACATTCCGTTGATCTAAAATCGTGAATCTTACGAAACCTTATGAATCTAAAATGATTTATATTGTATCCTTAGGATCACTTTGTATTACCTATTTGTGCATTTAGTTGAAAAATGTCTTCACGTTTTGAAATTGAAATTTTTAATGGGAAAGGGGAGGCAACAAAAAATTAAGGATATTTTGGTTCAACAAAAAATTTCAAAAATCATAGATGGAAAATTTTCTACAAATTTGACAGACGCACAAAAGGAAGAGTATGATGAACTTGCTTACACTTCAATTATTTTACGCCTATCTGTTATTATTTTGAGAAAAATTGGAAAACTTAATTCTACAAAAGAACTTTGGTAAAAGTTGGAGGGCTTATATTTGCTAAAATTTACTCCTAACAAATTGTACTTGCTTAAAAAGTTTTTCAATTTTATAATGGATCTTTCAAAGGATCTCGATAACAATCTGGATATTTTTAATAAATTAGTTCAAAATATTATTAATTGTGACGGAAAGGTGTCTGAAACGTACAAGGTTATTATTTTGCTTAATTCAATGCCGGATTCATATAGAGATGTTAAGAATGCAATTAAGTATGGCAAGAACACTTTAACACCTGAGATTGTCATATACTCCCTTAAAAGTAAGGAAAAAAAATTAAAGCTGAAAAAGAAGATCAGAGGAGTGGTGAGTTACATATGATGAGGAATAGAACAAAGTTTAAGCAAATGAATCTAAGTAGAGCTCAAGATAGTAGTGATTTGAGTAGTGACTCGAGTGATGAGGGTAGTAAGAAGAAAGGTAATGGACGAGACAAGTCAAGTGGTAGAAGATGTTATAGCTGTAGTAAGTTTGAACACTTTATTAGAGACTGTCTCAAGAAGAAGGATAAGTAAAAGGGTAAGATGAGAGGTGAGACGAATTTGGCTTTAGGGTCGAGTGATAACCGTTTTACTGAGAGTAAATCTAATTACTGCATGNAATGCGTGTGAATCTGCTCGGAGCTGCCCCATACTGCACGAGTCTTGATGTTCAATAAAACTCTCCACCCTAGCAAAAGAATGTACCGTTTCATAATATGTATGTTATTATATATTTCGTTGGCTTGAGGTCAGGTGGTTGTACTTTCCCTCTCAAATTTGTATAAGATGTTAGATGCTAGAACATGCGGAATTGGAATTCTAAAAGAGTTTAAAACGATTGTCAAACCAAAACTCACCAGATCCCATTTTGGTACTAGGAAACTGTGTTTAACTATCTATAAATTGTCTCCCCTTAAAATATATATGAAGCCCACATCAGTCAAAACCTAGTTTATTATGGATTTCACATGCTTTATTCCTTGAACTTCTACTGATTTTACCAAAATTGAACATTCTGGATTCTGCACTGAATGCAATAGATAAATCTTGAGAAGAAGTGATGGGAAAATAATGAGGGTGCTAAAGAATGGCCGATCTAGTTGGGACACTCAATTTGTATCTACTGATTCCAATCTCCTATATTAATCTTACGTACCTTGAGAAAACACGGCCACAATCACAGGAATGGCCTCGAGTTCCACAAGTTTTGAGATGAGCCTTATAATCAGATTGAACAGCATATCCTTTTGAGCATTTCTCACAAACCCACTGCTTATGATTACTGTGTTTTCTTCTAAAATGCTTCTTAATTCCCACGAGATCACCCAGTGCATGACGAGGATCGTGGTGAAGGCAAGTAGGTTCTGGGCACACAAATACGCGCGGTCTCACTATCGGCGTTTCGCGCTTTTGAAGCTTCCATGGCAACTTATGCCTTCTCCTATGCATCTGCAAGTTCTGGTCTCTCTGAAACCCTTGATTGCAGATCTCACAAACATATCGATCCGATTCCAATAAAGTCTTTGGGGATAAAGATACCACTTCTGCATCTGGATCTAGCACTCATAACACATCATTCATTGCACGTATAATTAACAACTGAAAATAATAAATAATAGATAATTTTATAAACAAACCTGAATCTTAAATTGTACCTGGTGTTCCTGCTGGCCTTCTTTTTCTTTTACTGATGTTTCCATTTTCGGCAGAAAATGATGGTTGGGAGGAAGAAGAAGAGAGATAGTTACTTATCATTGGAACTTTTTGTACAAAATCCGTCTCAACCGCAAAGAATTTGGAACATGGTAAGTAGAATAATTAATTTCGAAAATGCGAAAGGACGGATGATAGAACTACCGAATATACAGAAGCAACAAAGGGGAAAAAATAATAGGAAGACACTTTTAATCAGCTTTTAAGC